GAGTGGGACAAAATTATCGTCCGGAGGTAAAATACCCCCTCAATCGGATCTCCGGGCGGGGGTGCCTACTCGAGCGTATCATCGGAGAAACAAAAAACATCAATGTTTCACGTTCGCGGCGTGGAACGTCCGTACTCTACTGGACAAGATAAATTCAAATCGACCAGAGAGAAGAACAGCACTGGTCTCACAGGAACTCCACCGATTAAATATAGATGTTGCCGCTCTAAGCGAAACACGCTTTGCAGATGAAGGTAGTCTCACTGAGGAGCATTACACCTTCTTTTGGAAAGGTCACCCCGCAACACACAGGAGAATTCATGGTGTAGGCATTGCGATCAAAAACGAAATCGCCACCAAGTTAACAGAAGTACCTATTGGTGTCTCCGAACGTCTTATGACCCTAAGGTACCCCATATCAGACAAAACTTCGTCAACATCATTAGTGCCTACGCTCCCACCCTTGACGCTAAAATTGAAGATAAGGATAAATTTTACCAAGCTTTACAAAATGCCCTTCAACGAATTCCAAAGCACGAACGAATCATCTTGCTAGGTGACTTTAATGCCCGTGTAGGCAAACAACAGGAAATATGGCCTGACGTATTGGGAAAACATGGAATGGGAAACGCAAATAGCAATGGTGAACGCTTATTAACAACATGCGCAGAGTATAATCTTTGCATCACCAATACGTGGTTCATGTTGAAGGACAAGTTTAAAGGTACCTGGAAACATCCTAGATCAGGCCACTGGCATCAATTGGACCACATAATCGTTCGAAGGACGCATCTAAAAGATGTTAGGCTCACAAAAGCTAGAGTAGATGCCGAATGCGGCACTGACCACCGACTTTTAATTTCAAAAATGAAAATCCAGTTAAAACCCAAACATCCACGCTGTAAAAAGCAAAACAACATGACCAGATTGAACGTACGGGGTCTAGAAAACAACAATACCGCCGACGCCCTCCGGGAAGCCATCAAAGAATCACTTCCACCGATAACTTCAATCTCAGTATTGGAAGCTGAACAAGGCTGGACACAATTAAGGGATGCGATTCATAAAACCAGCGAAGCAGTACTGGGAAAGTCGAACAAAAAGAAACAACCAGACTGGTTTGACGAAAATCAACCGCATATACAGGCTTTGTTGGAACAAAAGCATAGAGCATATCAAGCCGTCACTGCAAATCCACATAATCCAAGCTGGTAGACAACTTTAAAGCAGCCAACAACACGCTTCGAAGAGAACTGCGCCAAGTAAAGGATAACTGGTGGTCACAAAAAGCGAATCAGATTCAAGAGTACGCCACGCATCACGATTATCGTAAATTCTTCGAGGCTGTAAAAGAAGTACACGGCCCAACTAAGAAGGTAAGCTGCCCAATCATGGCTCAAAATGGCGAACTTCTAAAAGAGGAAGAACAAATTAGAAATCGCTGGAAAGAACATTACAGCCATATCCTTAACCAAGAAAACAACCCCAATATGGAAGCATTAAACACAATACCTCAGTATAACAGCCTCGATGTATTAGACATCCCAATAACAGAACAAGAAATAAAGACCTCCATAAAACAGCTTAAAAACAACAAATCAGCTGGCTGTGACGATATTCCGGCGGAAATCTATAAGTGTGCAAGTAAAGAACTTATTGGTCATCTTAAGGCTCTCTTTGATGTCGTATGGGAAAGCGGAAAGGTACCTCAGGATTTTCGCAATGCGAATATAGTGAATATATTTAAGAACAAAGGAAGTGCATCAGACTGCGGAAATTACCGGGGAATTTCGCTATTGGCTATCGGCGGAAAAATTCTTGCAAAAATAATGTCAAACCGCCTGCACCCATATATAGAAAAAATCCTTCCAGAATCGCAAAGGGGTTTTCGTACCAACCGCGGCACCGTCGATTCCATATTTTCCATCCGTCAACTACAGGAAAAAGTAAAAGAGCAGGAGTCTAAACTTTATGTTGCATTCATCGATCTAACAAAAGCCTTCGACTCTGTGAACAGAGATGCGCTTTGGGCAATTATGGAAAAGTTCGGAGTACCCAACAAATTTCTTACAGTGTGTAAAAGCCTCCAAAACAACAAGTCAAGAGTGTCACATCATGGATCACTGAGAGACCCATTCCTAACAAATACAGGAGTTAGGCAGGGATGTGTCTTAGCGCCTCTCCTATTCAACATATTCATGGCAGCGCTCTCCATTATAGTGGACAGCAAACTGCAGGAGAGAGGATTGGGCATTAGATACTGATATGACGGCGGTCTGTTCAACATAAAAAGACTCAGGGCAAAAACACGTACAAAATTTATCACAGAACTTCAATACGCTGACGACTGCACTCTAGTTGCAAACACGGTACAACAATTACAAGAAATGTTGAACACATATACCTGGGCATACGAGGCTTTGAGCCTTAAGCTAAACATCGACAAAACTAAAATCATGTGCACTCACCCGGAAGATCACAACAATGCTATAAAAATCGGAGAAGAACTATTGGAATATGTGGCGGAATTCAATTACCTTGGCAGTTTGATTTCGGAAAAGGCCAATATTGACTCTGAAATTCAGCACAGGATTAGTAGCGCCTCAAGGGCATTCTGGAAATTAAAAGACAGGGTTTTTACAATCATGACTTGAGTACAAAAACAAAACTTGCAGTATACCGAGCAATTATAATCCCCACCATGATATATGGGAGCGAAACCTGGGTGCCTTACCGCCGACACATGAACGCATTGAACAAGTTGCAACAGAGACACCTTAGACAACTCTTAAGAGTCCGGTGGTTCCATCATGTCTCAAACGTATCGGTCCTTGAAAAATCTAACTGCGAGAGTATTGAAGTCATGGTCACAAAATCCCGCTTAAGATGGGCTGGTCACGTATGCAGAATGCAAGAAAACCGCATACCAAAATCTCTGCTTTACGGTGAGCTTGTGGACGGTAAGAGGAGGCCGGGTGGACAACTGAAAAGATACAAGGACATTTTCCACGAAAATTTAAAGGGAATTAACATGCAGAATGAGTGGGAAAAAGCAGCTCACAATAGAACTCAATGGAGAAGGGTTGTAAACTCAGTTAACAGCGGCAACCAAAAGTAGAGAGGCAACAAAGCAATGAGATTTTTGAATGTCCGGAGTGCGGTAGGCAGATAACATCACGTATCGGGCTTTTCAGTCACAGAAAAGCTCATGAAAGAAAACGCCTTGCGTGACCATTTTCTTTATGTGTGTCGAATACTCGTCAGCGAGTAACGGCTGTATGTATGTATGTATGTATGTATATTTTTGTTTTTTTTACTAAGAGTGAGTCCCAGGTGGGACCCTCCACTGAGGCCGCGAGGGTTGCAACGACGTATCCAACTGCAAAGTTGGATACGCCACAGTGTAGCGCTCTATGGACAAAAACCAGAAAAAAACTGTTTCGCATTTATACAAATATTATTATTTATCGCCTTAGGAAGGCCTATAATCACCAAAAAATATATGAAAAAAATTGATACATGAGCAGCAATGCAAATACCAAAAATTCAATATCAGTATTTTTATTATAGTGGAAGTGTGTTTAAGTGACGGCATTTTTCAGTTAAATTGGGGTGAATATTGTGTAGACGAAAAGAATATTTCCTAGCTGTACAAAATGGAGAAAAACACTTATAGTAAGTACATTCTTTTTCCATATTAGTTGTTGTTAAATTCGATCATTGCTTTTATATACATTGCCATTACAAAAAGGCAAATCGAGTCTGAATGAAAATTAGTAATGTAATTTTATTTAAGGTTTTAAAAAAATTGTAGACGAGATTTTTCGTGTAATGTTGTCCCAAGTATTATACTTTAAAACCATTATTTCAGTTTCTGCGGAAAACTGCAATGTTTTAAGTTTTCGATTTTTTTTAGGAGAATGTCCAGTACTTAAAATAAAGATATTTTTGAACAATGGTGCAATAATTCCAAAAGTGAAAGAGTGGCAAAAATTTGTGAAAAAATTAAGTTATGTTTACATTTAGAAGATTGTTCTGAAGAAGTTGATTCGTTTTTACAAGAAGTAAGTCGTTTCCAGGTGAGAAAGTTCTTGAAGTTTTTTCGTTTTTTGTTGAACTTAAATTATTGCCCTTTATGATTTTAATTTAATTGTTTTAATTTTCAAACTGAGCTTGCCATAATGTTATCTGTGATTGAATAATTGTGATAGAAATAACTTTTTAACCCTTTTTGAAAAAAAAATTTAACCTTCAATTTGTTTTGTGATTGTATTTTATATTTTTTGGCCTCTGTATGACTATTGGAATTTGTTTATTATTCTGATTGTAATTATTTTAGCTTTCTTGGGCCTGAAGATGGGAATTGTTAAGTCCCGAGACATGTCGCCCCCCTCCTTTTTTTGAAGCAAATTAAATATAAATAAACATCTTGAAAGATTGTGAGTTTTTTTCCCCTACCCCTCGTACCAAATCAAACCAAACTCGGTACGTGAATAGAGGTACCCAAATGGAGTCCTCAGACGGACAGACGGTCATTTTAATACAAATTTTGTGAAATTGAATGAAATTATTTAATAATTTTTAATTTATTACTTTTTCAACATTTCAAACTACACTTTTTCAAACAGGTTCTTCAAAACCTTCAATTTAATAGCTGTTAGTAAGAAGTTTCACTTTAAATATGCATAGATAGTGCACACACAATTTTGTTTTTTATATTTTTTTTTATTCATTGATGATGGGGTTTTGTGGGATGTGCACGAAACGTAGTCAAAATATCTACATTCCGAATTTCAGCCCCTAACTCACAAAGGGTCCGAGTTAGAACACTCCAAATCGTTACCATTTTTCTTACCACTCGCATGTCGTGACGCTAGCTCGTGTCTTGAATTTTCACTCCCATCGCGCGTAAAGAAGTTTAACTTGGTTTAAATATTTTTTCAAAGTTTTAAATTATCAAATTTCAATTGTTTTTAATAATTTAATTTCTAAATTTTCAGTTCATTCACAGTTGCAGCCATTCTACGATATCAAATACTGGCGATGTGTTATCAAAAAGACCTACGAGTGTCCTGACAACGACATAAAATATTATTTATATACTCCGTAAGTATAAAAATGTGTTTTATGTGCTAGATGCTTCTGAAATTTTAATATAAAAAGAGTCAATGCATTCGTTTTATTATTCGCCATTTCATATTTTAAGAATTTAAAATGCAATAAATTCAGTTAACCACGGAGAGTATTATTTTAGAACTGCTTCTCTCTTCAGCACAGCTCGCCTGGACTGCATTCCTAGTAGACATCTTAACTACTAAGAGTAGTTTTTATCAGTGCAATTGAGATTGCAATGAGATAATGAGGTTTAAAGCTTGATTTTCATGCATCCGTTATCCGTTGATACGATGGTCCGACTGCTCTGATTGGTTATAGCGTTTTCGCGCCACTTTTCATCCGTAAATTTTTTACTCCAGCCTGTCAACTAGCGATGGGAATTAGACTATCGAATGGTTAATGAATGAATGATTTCAACTATCGAATGGTTTTATTCGAATAAAATCATTCATTCATTTGTATACTAAAGGATATGTGACAACCTCGCCGTGCGACTAAATGGTTATCGTTGAGCCACGACTATCGAATGCTTTTGATAAATGAAATTTAGTATTCGTTTGATTTTTGTATGCGTCAGTGCATTATTAGTTCTTCCAAATTTTTATAACTTCGCCGTATAAATACTGTGCTATTTTTGCGTTTATTAAAATAGTTAAAATACTAAAATAGTAGTTATTTTTTAATTTTATTTATTGACGATTGTATGCATGTGCAGGTGGTCAAAATTTTTCCGAAAATTTGTGTGGTTTTCCGTAGTCCGATCTTTCAATTATTTAATTTTATATGGTATATGGTCTCTTTTTTAATGGGAAATTTTGAGAAGTAGCAATTTTTAAGAGAGATGAGATGAACTTACAATTAATTTTAAAAATACATATTTGTATTTTAGATGTTTTAATGATATGAATTAGTTGAACTTAATAATCATATTTAAGTAATCTGGTTAAGTAAATGGTTATCGAACTCAAACTATGGGGTGAGAAAATTAAAATGAAAGTTTTACACGTGCCAATTTAAAAAAAAAGTTAACGATGTTTGTATTTTGTGTATGCTAATTCTCTTACATGTAGTTTTTTGCGAAGAAATATTTCATTTTTTTTTAAAGTAAATGCCAGTAAAAGTAAATATAATTTTTAAATAGTAATATAAAGCACCTAATATAAATAATTTTGATTTCTAATTTTTTATTTATATTTTCGTTCCATTACACTGCATGCTTAGAAAATTAATAAATGTTTATATTTCATGATTTTAAAATTTGTTGTTAATATAACAAATTAGTTCTGTAATTATTATTATTTAATAAACCAACGTTGCCAAAAAATTTAAAGACTATATTATTTTTAAATAGGATCTAATATAAATAATTTTGACATCTAATTTGTTGTTTATATTTTGCTACTGCTTAAAAAAATATTTATATTAAATCATTTTAAATTTTGTTGTTAATAGGTATAACAAATTATTATTGTTATTATTATTTATTAAACCAGTCTTTGCTTAAAAACATTAAAAATCATTTTCTTACATTCAAAATAACAAGTATTATTGCAGTGTAACAACAGAATATTAATAAAAAAAATGCAGAATATATAGACATACTATCCCTAACTAACTAAAGCTAAACAATAATATTCTTTGCTAATATCAACTAATACCAAAATATGGCAACAGCGCCCTTCATAATGTATTTTCTGTGTAAATACTAGCACCTCAATAAAAAAAAAATGTGTCCTTATCTATATCTGACTCCGCAAAAAATCAAAGATGCGGGCTTCATTCATAGCATTGCCACCGACCGCTCGCTGTCGGGTTTCTTGGAAAGAAACCTACGTCGCCGGGCTACAACTAAAATTCAGTTAATATTTTATTATAATCGATCCTGACGAATAAATGAATTTCATAAATGAATGAATTTTATAAATGAATGGTTTTTGCTGCCGAATTACTAGAATACAATATTTCAAGGCAGATGACGCATCTATTCGATAATTTTTATTCGAATAGTTTTCAACGAATGTTTTTTACTAACTATCGAATTATTCGAATGAATTGCAACTATCGAATGTTTCGATAGTATTCATTCGATAGTTCCCACTACTACTGTCAACGGAAAAAGATCTTACGATAACGGACGTTTTGACACTTTTTTGACAAATTTAATCTAACTTTAATAAAAATATAATACAAATAAGAAAGCTGATTCTTTAATATATCTTTTGCTGTGCTCTCCTGACCAAAGTGCGGGCCGTCTGGCTGCCGGTAGACTACTGCGGTTAACTACTGCGCATCTTACTAAAAATAGTACATACTTAATATAATAGTACAAGAGCTAGCACCGTCGGGAAAATGAGAATTTTAAGAAAGCTGTTTCTTTAATATATCTTTTGCTATGCTCTCCTAACCAACGTGCGGGCCGTCTGAATGCCGGTAGACTACTCGGTTCGCTACTGCGCAATCACTATGCGCAAGTCACATCTGTACAGGGTATCCCATTTTAAATAAATAAATAAATATAAATAAATGCCTTTATTGTCAAAAAAAAATTACAATTTGTAGACAAAGGTAAAGTAAACAAACAAACAAACAAAAAAGAATACAAAACAAGTATACAAATTCAATTGTCAGTCTTATTGTTTAAAATAAACATTTATAAAGGTTTACAATGTCAAAGAATAAAAAAATAAAAATAAGATTCAAAAATATTTAGAAAGTTTATAGTAAATATAGTAATAGCAAATATTAGACCAGTTTTTACAAGATCAAATTCGATTATCAAAATATAAGTCATTTACGGCGCACATACGGGTATTTTGATTATTTAAGCGGCCAAAAGTCAATTTCGTAGAACTCATTGCAGATGGAAATAGAGTAGACCTAGCGGAAGTTGAATAGCGGCAGAATAATAGGCAACCCTGTATTCAACGGCCAACATGATAATGGATCAGTAATACCAAGTCACCTTTGATCCTCTTTGACATGTCAACGTTTAGTTTGAACAGTGTGTACATTAATTATCCAAGATATATATGAAAAACTAAATAATGGATCCTGAAGTTGCTGGTAAGTGGTTACATATTTAATATTTAAAAGTTTTTAAGTATTCAAAACATATTTAGCAGTGTGCAAAATCATTGCATTATTTTTGCTTTCATTTTAAATAATTCTTTCACATAGCTAAAGGTTTTTGTTATACTTTAGGGTTCGTCCCACATATTTAATAAAGTTCAGTGTCAACTTCAGAGTATATAGAAAATGATTATCACTAGTTTAGCTGCTAATAGCTGCGCAATATTGTGTTATGCAGGTTTTAAGTTTCTTTGTGTAAAATGCAACATTAGTAATTCTAGAACAATTTCGATTCGAAGAGTGTCTAACTTTGTTTCAGGGTTATCAAATGTTCGAGTAGTAAGTCGGAGGTACCTGTTTGATAAAATGCAAGAGCGAGATCTGCCTACTTTTGACGATAAATTAGAGTCTCTTGAAAATAATATTTTGGCATACCAAAATTATTTTGAAAACCAAATAAAAGATTTAAAGCACAGATTCTCGTACATCAAGTCACAATTTAAGCAAAGATGGTCTAATGCCCAACGAAATCTTGATAACTTCCTTAAAAAAACTATGCCTGGTTAGAAGGAACGTTTGAACAACCGTAGCACACCGTTCAGGGCGTCCACCAAAGGAATATGCTAAATTAAGCGAAGAAGTCAACGAAGACGAACTGAAGAACTACGAAGTACAACAAGTAAGGAAATATTGCTTCAGGCAGCACAAATAACACTTCAAACTTCGGGAAAACGAAGTGCCTCGCAGATGCTTAAAGAGATGGTCATTTCACCCAATTGTGCAAAAAAATATAAAACTGCATACACTAAAACTCTACAGGATGAAAAAGACAATAAACTGGCATCTATTTGCGCACTTTCAATGTTTGTTGAGGCTGATCTGACTAGGCGGCAATACGAAATTATTAGAAACACAAATGAAAAAATTGTATCCTTGCTATAGTGTACTACAAACAGCAAAACAACACAAAAAATCGGATAAAACCACTTTTTTGTTTATGTTTAAACTAAATATACTTTTGGCCGCCTAAATAATCAAAATACCCGTATGTGCGGCGTAGAAAGCCTTGTCTAGTAAATAAGATTTCAATACTTTGCGAAATGAAGAAAATGATGTTATGGATTTGATTTCAAATGGCAGGTGATTGTGAATTTTGTTCGAGTTGTATAATATTGAACTTTAAACTAGCTCTGAGCGTGGGGTAGGTAGATAAAGATCTTGCTCCGGCGTTCCTGAGTGGATAAGTGTGAGATGGCCTTTCTTGAGAAACTGATACATGCTTACGTATTAGGCAAACGGATTCAAATATAAATAGGGAAGGAAGAGTTAATATTTTTAATTTTTTAAAAAAAATCCTGGCAATAAGTTCTGCTTAGTCCCAGTAAATATCGAACAGCTCTCTTCTGGAGCTTGAAAATACGGTCAAATTGAGTCGCACAACACGCACCCCCGAAATGGAAGGGCATATCTGAGGTGCGACTCAAAAAGTGCATTATAAACAGTTCCTCATCCTCGTGTGGATTATGGGATTTCTCGTTTATGAGTAGAGATACAATGATGCGATTTTAACATAACTTGGCTGATTTTTTATGAAACTAAATAAATCGAATTTGTGATGCGCAGTAGTGAACAGATGTTGAATACAGATATGGGGGTTGCGCAGTAGTTTACGCAACGTCTACCGGCAGCCAGACGAACCGCATTCTGTTCAGGAGAGCATAGCAAATGATATATTAAAGAACCAGCTTTCTTAAAATTCTCTCTCAAAAACGTTGCTAGCTCCATGCTAGCTCTTAGACTGCAAGTAAAACAGCGAAATCGTTATGGAAATGAAAATATAAAATGACATCAATCACAAGCAAATCGTATATCCGATGAACGGAAGCATAAAAATGCCACAAATTTATAAACTACATAATTTTCTAACCAATCAAAGTCTTTAAATTCAACCAATAAAATTAATATCGTATCATCATATCGTCGGATAACGGATGCATGCAAATCAAGCTTAAATCCTGTTCTTTAAACCTCATTATTTCAGTGGAATTGGTACTGACTTACACTGCTTGACTTACCCATAAATTAAAATTCCTCCAGAGAAAAGACAATCACTGTCACTGGCAAAAGCTTGCAATAACGTCGTTTACGTTTTTAAAAATGACAAACTCCGTCCTTATTTTTTTTTTATTAGATGAGACTATAGCAATGACTTTTCCCCAGAGTATCATTTTTGTTAAACTTTTTTTATTTTATATTTTTTTCTTGTATTAATTTATTTATGTCTGTTTATTTATATATTTATTTAGTTAGATATTTGTGTATTTATTTCAGAGAAACTGGCAAAAAAAGGCTTAGAATAGACATAAGAAACCATTTATCTTTGCGACTATCGGGATTTGATCCTGACAGAAAAAACGCGATCATTATTCATGGATTTAATGGAACGGAGAGCAAAACACCGATGACAGTTCTACGAGACGGTATGGAGTGACAAGGGTTTTTTATCCGATATCAACCTATTATTAGACTGATTTTATGATTTATTAAAAGCGCGTCAAATATTCTTCTACCGGGGTGCTCAAAAGTGGCTTACCCCTATAACTTTTTTATTTTTTCAGATAAAAACGAAATTTTGTATGTTAGTATATGACATAAATTAGGATTGATTGACGTATTCAATTATTTTTGGTCGCTTCCTGTTTCACCGGAAATGATGACAAATTTTTATTTTTAAATGGCATCCTCGGTATATTTTTACTTTATTCTACAGAAAATGACACACTGTGAGAATGAATGAGATCATATATGTCAACTTTTGTCATGAGTTAAAATTTAAATCTAGAGTACCATGGTTGTGTTAAAAATACTAATTTTTAATCAAGGAGCCTTGGAAAAATAGATTTGATCGTCTAATGTTTTTCGTGTCTTGTTCTGGCCAGTTAAAATATGCCTAAATCGTATTTTTAATAATATCTCAATTTTTTTAAATGGAACAAGGATGGGTCATCAGCATATTTAGAAAAGGCATTTTTTTAAGAATAATTTGGTACTACACACTTGGTATTTCGGGTCACATTGTCGTTATGAACCACATGTTACAATTAAAGTGCCATTTTCTATCGAATAAAACAAAAAAAATACCGAGGATATCGTTTCAAAATCAAAAGTTGTAGTAATTTCCGGTGAAACAGGAAGTAACCAAAAACAATTGAATAGATCAACATCTATGAGACTCTTAATCTCAGGGTCGTGGGTTCGTGCCCCACGTTGGGCGCCAAACTTGTGTAACGTTTTCTTGACACAATGCAAACGGCAGCTTTTCGTCTTTGGGAGCAGTCGTAGGTTCGTTTTTTCTTTTTTTATTTTTTTTTATTAGGTGTTATAATTAATCAATAAAACAATAATTATTGGGCGCCAGGACATTCACTCAGAAATAATAGATCTCTTTACCCCAACTTAAATTTATTTATAATTAAAAAAATATTAGACAAGGACAAGGAGTAATTGATGTGGATGAAGTTAGGTTTTTAAAATGAATTAATATTTAAGAAAAATAAGTAATCAACATTTAAATGTATGATAAAAAAAATAGTATCACTTGTTTTGTTGATCAAAAATCATTGACTTATTAATATTAAATTACGCAAAATAAAGTTAAATAAGTACCTCAAACTAACGCAGTTCATGAACCTTGTTGTATGCGCACATAATTCCGTCAATCAATCAAAAGTTAATTAAATAAATATGTCAAGTGACACCATCACAAAATACTTGACAAGATATTAAAATATATAAAAATTTGTATATTTAAAATTAAGAAAATTATATTTTAATAATGAAATTCAAAATTGATATCTAATAATTACATAATTAATTACGTAATTCGTCAACAGTAAGTAAATAGATTTGAAATGAGTTATTAAAAAAATGTGAAATCTGGCCTGATTATCCGGTGCAATTCCAGGCTTTGGCTCGTCCTTCTGGATGGTGTGTGGACGCTAGGTGTGGGAGCTCATCCCCAATCTACCACAGCCTCGAACAGCCCCTTACAATACCACCAGCCATGTGGAAATCAAACATGGATCATAGATACAGGCTCTCGTACCTCAAACCACCAATCACGACATATAACTCGCCATGTAACTGGGCGGTAAAACCCTGGAAACGACACAACTTATGCACAAAATGCATTTTAGAAATTTTAGAACTTACCTCACAATGCTGAGGGTTTACTCAAAAATTAAATTCATGACAGGACAACCAAAACCACGTTTAGAAAATCTGTAAAGAGATAAGGTTGAACCAAAAAAGTAAAAATGTGATGAAGATCAAAGTTACCACAAAAATACCCATGAAAACTTAAAATTGATTCCTTCCCCAAATGCCAGGAACCACTAGGACTACATTCCAAAAGTTAATAGAATTAAAGAGTTTAAACTTTTTCGGATGACTTCAGGTAAGTATGTCGATGTTTACGCCACGAAATCTGAATCAAAAATGGTGACTTCCGATGGTCAAAAAGATGCTCTAGTTCTGCGCCAAATATTTTTGACAAAGAACAAATTTAAACAAAAAAAAATTGAACAAAAAATTTGCAATGGGCGCATTCAGTAAACACACCGGTATTAACCGGTAAAGACCTACCGATAACTTTCATTGAACGACAGTGGCGGACTAAGGGGGGGCGGAAGAGGCGGTCCGCCCCTTCTTTTAGGGGGCCTCCAATTCTTAGTAAGTTTCTTTTTAATCAATGTGTTCATTCAGTAGTTATGAAGCAGTTTGTAGGTGGAGTATGCAAACGATACGTATACGCCAACTATAAACAGTATAAATGGAAGCAGATATTTACTTAATTATCAATTATATCAGGCCCCAGTAATTGTCAATGGCATTTTCTATTTAGGAAATTAAATAAAGGGATTCTTTGTTAAAAATATCGAATAATAATTATTTTTTATACATTTTGAGACTGAAGATATTTTTCAATGGTTTCATTATTTATTTTTACTGAATAAACATTTTAAATTACAACCAATGCACAGAATAACTTGTATTCTAGCTTCTTTACCGATGATGAGCAGTGAAGTCTTTAGTATAACGGGGGCCACGGGCCTGAGACAGCGAAGGGACCCCCTTAAGATTTAGTTTGAAAACGTATATTTTTCTAGATTTTATCTAGCTTCCTTTGATATTAAGTGTCAAACAGTCAGACAATTTATTTCCATCTGTCAGAAAATGAATTATTTGAATTTCCTATATATTATAAATACTGCTGCTTAAAAGTTTAAAAAGTGTATTTATATATCTTGTATTTTCGTTCTTGAGTGATTATTTTAATTGATAATGATTATTTTAATAACATACCGTATGATCGAAAAAAAAAAACAGCGCAAAGTTAGCTTGGAAATGATGATCGATAATATTACTGTCATAGGCTACTGGTTAAAATCAAGAAAAATATACGCTTTAAAGCTAAATCTTAAATAACTTAAAAACGATTAATTTTAGGTACAGGAACATGTATAGTCAAAAAGTAACAAATTTTAAAAACGAAAGTAACGAAAGCCTTTTTACGAGTGAAATATAAAAAGTGAATTTCCATTTGAAAAAAAAATGATTTATGATAATTTTTTAATCGCTCAATTCCATGACAGCTGCGGCCATTAATATATTATGACATTCGGACAATTTAATTTTTGACATAGATAGCCACATGTCTTATGGTACTCATGGTCTCTTTATGGTACAGTGGCTGTGGCAATCACTAAATTTGACGTTTAGGCTATATACATATTTTTGACAGGCAGTTTTTTTCCTCCAAAAATTATAAATATTTTTTTTTATCAAAAAGGTTAACGTTAGGTTAGAGTGTTTAATATCAAAATTCATAAAATTTTACAAAAATGGTCACCCATTTGAAATAAGAAAGTTGCTGTCAACTTCCGGTACTTCCGAAAGTGCCGCCATATTGGAAATATTTTAATCGATAGATCTCGTTGTGAAACAATGATATGCACAAAATCTCGGATCTAGATATTGTAGTTCTCTAGAAACTTCTAATGCAGGCTCAGCCTGGGATACCCTGTATAAATACTTCAATTTTGTCAACCATTATAGGTACATAAGTCATTCAATTTTTACAAAATGTGCATTAGAAGTACATCATTATCTGAACAGACCGGGGGGCACATTTAGCTTTGCCGCCCCGGGCCCCCGACACGCTTAGTCCTCCACTGTTGAACGATCAAGTTACCGGTACGTAAATAAACCGGAAACAAAATACGGTAGGCTCTCAAGTGATCGGTGAATCAACCGATGAGTTACCATTGGCATTCAATTTAATTTTCTGCACCAGTAGACTCACTGGTGTGTTTACTGAATGCGCCCAATATTAAGAGACCACGGTATATCATTAAAAGCGCGGCCGCTACTGATCCCCTGTAAAATATCAACCATGTGATCACACCCGTGTGGGAGAGCATCGAACAATGCTTCGAACGTTGGAAGGTCCTTTGACGCGGGTGAAATTTACCGACGGGAGCCCGAACTTGCTTCCAATTGGACACATGGATCTCTGCGCTCCCACACGATGTGGCAAATGTCCGTGCCTCCAACTTTGGAAGGTGTTCGCCAAATCGTGTAGGACCGTCTTTTTACTCATTAATCAGACATACTTGCCGTTGAACAATGGCTGGCACATCATTTTTTATTAGAGAGGTGCAACATATCTCACAGAACGCAAACGTGTTATAAAACGTGTAACCTAAGTTTTAATCATCTGCTGATGATGCTAACATGGTTAGCGAAACGCACGTCCAGTGTAAAACTTAAAGTGTTTTGGTGTATTGTGGTGATTTAGTGTTTTATTTTGATTCTAAATATAAAATATTAAGAAAAATGAGGGTTTAGTATAAAAAATTAATATTGTTGGAAATACCATTCTTAAGTTTCGGCACAGCAAATTTTTTGTTTAAGTTTGTAACCTTGTTGTCGGTTATTTTTTTATCATTTGTTATATCCTCTTTTTCATCAATCATATATTCTGCCTTATACATACATTAGAAGGTATTCGATAGGAATCAATTCAATACACCAAAACATTTTTGCACTGGACGCACAACTTCTGCTGATTATGCTAACTTGGTTAGCGAAACGTGCGTCCAGTGCAAAAGTAAAGTATTTTGGTGTATTGTGGTGAATTAGTGTTTTATTTTACTAGTGCAGTTGTTGAAACCATACATTTAATTGTATTACAACAATGAATTAATGTACTTTAATACAAAATATTGGGATTCCATTCGGCTATCGTATTAATATTAGCGCCTCTAAATATTTTAATAAATGTGGCGTATAAAAAGTCTCCTAAATGTGGCGTATAAAGTACTGGCAACATATATAAAAGAAATGTTAGTAGAGGAGGTTGATGAAAAAATTGGAGAGTACCAATGTGGATTTAGGAAAGGAAGAAGTACCATTGACC